AATTCATTGTATCCTGTATATAAATATAATCGTTTTATTGGTGTTGTGTTTCATGAAAAGCATATATTTTATTTTGAAGGTAAAAGCCGGAAGTAAGTCTATTTACTCGTGTTCCTTGAAAATGAAACTTTTTAAGGTTTGAACATTTTTGTGTCATCGTAACCAACTCGAGCAAAACATTCGACAGACACTGTGCTGTATTATGTCTCGTTCGGTTTCTACAAATAATGAAAACTGTTAAAAATGTTTTGCTAACTTCGATAAAATGTGGAGACATATTAAAATGCTATTGAAATTTCCCGTAAACTTCACTTTACATTTGCAAATTAAGTTTAACTTGTTTGTACCTACCTCTGAGTTCTTTGGTTTAACGGCTACTCGGTGTTTAAAACTCTGTTGCTTTCGTGTCTCCTCTCTGTGTTCCCCGCGTTTCACTTCTTTCTGTGTCAGGACATTGGTGTTCACTTCACTCACTTCAGGGCAGCAATCACTGAGTAGGAGGAGAAATGGGGAGGAGGAAGGAAAAGCTCCGACTGCGCTGGGACTCGATCCGTTCTAAAAATGAGTGAGACCGAAGCTGTGATGCATTCTAATACTGCTCGGAAAAATTACCACCACTAACTTTTGTCGGCATTAACTGACTCGTTCATCGTAGTTGATGACATACTGTTTTGCTTTAATGTCATATATTTCATTCTATCGATATTCATTGAAGCATGTCCATTCAAATTATATTTCCATATCAGCGTTTTACTTTGAGGGTTAGGGTGTTCTTTTTCAGACACACGTTTCTATTGCTGTCATTTTTGGTTGAGTTCCATTAAATTCAACGACAAACTATTCAGTTTTTTTTAAATATTGTTCACTACTGTTCTTCTAGTTATTTTTAAATCTTACTTTGTTTATGAAATCTGTACTAAAATTTAGAGTAACTTTAATAGTTGCCTGTATCCATTTTCCACATCGGAAATTTATTCATTTTTAGGCCGTAAAAAATGCACTAAAGTTCTAAAATGGCCAATGCATTTGAAAGATAAAACGAGCGCCACAGTTCACCATTGGTTTTGTGCTATGACAAATCAAATAAGTTATTTCCTTTTTATAATAAATTTGGTGTTACTTGTTTCCACGGAGCAATTGTCTCTATATAAATATGCATAAAAACTGTAAAAGATAAAATGCACTATCACTACTTAAAAAACAGACAAATAAAACTCAAACGTACCAGGGAAGCAGAAGTGGTAGTTTATATGCTAAAATGGTGGTTTGCATGCATCCATGTGATTAGTATTAGATTATTAAGTTTTCTGTTGTACAAAAACATTACCCTATATTAATTACCTTAAGGCCACAAGGTGGCGTGTTAGCCTCACGACTGTAAAAAGTCACCCGCTCATGTCCTAATTTGGACTAGTGGTTTTACAGTATGGGTTTTGCCATATACAGTATGAGTGTTCTACGTGCGCTCTACGTTTACCACAATCAACTTTGAGAGTAGTTTAAAGTTTATTTGAATACGAGTTCCATTTTGTAATTCTGGCAAGCCACAACAAAACACACCTGAAAGTATTTTTAGAGCAGCTATAAATATGATCAAATATGAAAATTCATCAATGCAATAATTTCAGCCCTGAACATGTATATTGATTTATCTTTGTGCTAAAGAAATATTTAAATGTAAACAAACAGAGGAAAACAACACCAGCACAACTGTGATCTTTATAGTACACTGTAAATATCAGCAGATTGGAACACTGAAACAACCGCTGCAGAAATGCTGGGTCTTTGTGACCGGAACATTTATCAATGTTTTCTCTGTTGAGTTCTCTTTGGGTTCGGTTTTCTAATTTGTTTAGTTTGCTGGTAAATATGACAATAAAGTTTTTTTTTAGTTTTTTTTTTATTATTTTTTTATTTATTTTAAAGCTAATACTTTTTGTAAAATAGGATCAGTTTAGACAAAACTTAATTTTTCTTAATTGTCCTTTGTTCTGTCTGATACTAAGAGCAGGTGTTTTTAAAACAAATGTCTCTGTCCCTGCAATGTGATTAATCTTTAACATCATAACAGGCAAAGACATCCGTTGTGTCATGTGAGGAACTGCACTTTACACTTCAACAGAGGAGACAAGGAGAGACAAAAACACGTCCATCTGACATGTTTGTTCATACATGAAAAGGAGAACACGGCTTCATCCAGGGCAAACTACAACAACCACCACAGGTAAATAACGTAGAACTTAGACTGAGGATAACTCATACTAAACTGTTCACTTCTTACCGGAATCCTGGACGATTGTCACTCAGGTTTACTGTAAAAAAAAAAAAGAAAAAAAGAAAGAAGGGCAAACATGCTTTAATGCTGCAGTACTGTAGAATTTAAATTAATTTACTTGAACATATCTGTTATTAATGATTTTTATTCATTTGATTTCCTGGAGCTGTGCATATTCATTGTTTCATTTAAAGATTTGATACTGTAAAACCAGTAACATTTTTAACACACATGATAATCGGAATATTGAAGACATATTCAGCTATCCTTAATTAACTCATATAGTAGTATTAAGATGGCTCCTTGAAAATAAAAACCTTTTGCAACTTATTTTCCTCCTCAGACTAAAAATGCTAACCAGCTGGTTAACATTTACTTCTCTTGTGGCTGCCTCAGCTAGTCCACAAAGAGCAGCCTACGGCCAGCTTCCACTCACCGTTGCACCAACCTGCAGAGTCTACATTTTGCCAAAGCTGGAGTTTGTTTTAAACTGTGGGGATGGAAAAAATACTGGTCAGTATTTGAAACCAGAAATAAAAATAAAGTCCTTCTCAGACACATGTACAGATCACCTGTCACTTATTTTACTTGATTGAGCCCAGTAAAACCACAATAAAAAAGGGGCATAAATGCATATAGTTAGGCAAAGACTTTTTATTGTTAAAACATAATTTGTTAAAACAGAAAGAAACACTTGCAGCTCTTTGTTACCTACCTCACCTGCCTCTACATTACCTTATGCGCAGGTCTAGTCCAGTACTGGCACACTCCCTTTGGTGAATTTACATTTCCTGGAAGTCACAATGAACGGGATCCTGTTTTCATGAACCAGGATGGCAGCCTGGTCATCTCCAACAGTAGCAGCTTCCACCGTGGGCTGTACTACTGCCTCCTGCAGTCCAGACAGGGAGCCTCACTGTGGCCCTATGAGCTCCACACCAGTTATGACCATGAAGACGACCAGGACATTAATGGAGACCAACGAAGCAGCAGCTGCCATAAGCTAAGAGTTAGGAGAAATGCTGAGCCTGAAGACAAGGAAGCAGGGGTTTCAGAGGAGCGGCTGGCAGGAGCTGTGGCAGCATCAGTACTGCTGACTTTTGTGGTGGGATTCAGTGCTGGAGCTCTGGCCAGAAAACATATCATGAGGTGAGAAATAGAATAACACACCAGACACACATTTAGCTTCAGAACCACAGTTTTGTTTTGTGTTTAAATACCACAAACCAATCAATGATGATTTAGGTTGAAGACAAGTTTTCTGTACGTCCTATGCTACTATAAAAATAAACATATAGATGGTCAATGTCTGACCGTCAAACAGACCAACACCAGCTGCTGTATTTCAAAAATTGTCTTTTTAGTTCAATTTAACCAGCTTCTTTTTCCCTCCCAGGTGTTTTCAAGCACTCATTGCCAAAAAACGATCATTTCAGCGTCAGCATCGGCGTCGGTCTGATAGGACAGACGTAGGCTGTGAGATCTCCATAGCAACACTGCCTGTTATGTACGACAACGTGAGCTTTGAAATGGGGCAAAGTGTGGACGACTTGGACATGAATGCCACAGTTTCTTCAACATCAGCATCTCCTCCTGAGAAACCCAAGAGAAGCTTCAGACACAAACGAGAGGAGGGGCAGGAGACCACAACCTACCTGGAGAGATGTGACCACAAGGTGGAGGAGAGGAGGACAGGAGAGCAGGAGGAGCATGGAGGAGGAGAGCTGAAAGAAGGGAGTGAAACTGAAACAAATCAAGAGATTAACAGCAAGGACAGAGAGGACAGTGGTGAGGGGAGAGAGGAAAAAGGAATGCTGGAAGACAAAGAGGATGAAAGAGATTTAGAGGAAAATGGAATAGAATGTGAAATGCACAAGGAGGGAGAGAGAGGCGTCAGCTATTTGTATTTGTCAGATGTTAATCGCATAGCTAAAACAGAAGAAAAGACATACAGTGAGGATGAAGAGAGAAAGGAGGAGATGCCTGGTCAGAGGGAAGAACAAGACAATGAGCAGGAGAGAGAAGTTGGAAGCAGAGAGAAAGAGACAGATGTTGAAACTAAGGATGAAGAGCAGGAGGTAGATGAAGGTGAGAAGAGGTCAGATGAAGAACAATCTCAGCACTTATCTTCAGACTCAGACGATGAAGAAACAGGCACCGAAATACCAGAGGACACAAAAGACGAAGGTGGCAAAGGGGAAAAAGAAGCGTTGTCCTCTCCCCCTCGTCGCAGAAGAGTTATACGCCTGTACCAGTACGATGAAGATGGCCAACGATACTGCCACCTTCCAGAACCTTCTCCTAAAGAACCATCTCCTGTCCTGAGGCAGAAACAACGCTCTGTCTCTCTGACACGGCTCAACACAATCATGGCTGCTGCCTCTGAAGGGCCACTGGACAGGAGGGAGACAGAAGAGGAGGAAAGAGAGGGGAGGCCACAATTTCACATGGACATATAAAAAAGATACATCACTGTGGACAGGAAATCAAATTCAATGCCATAACAATAAGTAATCCATTGGTGAAACTATGAATGCTAAATAAAGCTACAGAAAAGGAGATATTTTTCCACTGGTGTAAAAAACACAATTAAATTGACATGCTAATATTTAATGTTTTAATTAATTGTCAGTTAAAGTTGAAGATATTAAAGTCTGGGGGGTGGAGGGGGCAACAATACTGAAACAATACTTCTAGCTCAAGAAGGCTTGCATTTCATCATGATTTAGTTACATCAAATAATTCTAGAGGGACATAGATGAAACGGTGATTTCATACCTGTGAATTTCACAACAAATAACTGCATCAGACACTGCATCAATACCTGGATAGTCTTCCTACAAGGACAAGAATGTTGGAGAGAGAACTGCCAGGCAGAAAGAACAGGAAGAGCACAGAGAATATTGATTAACATATTGGAAAAGGACATTGACAAGGTTGGTGTGATAAGAGACAAGTGAAGGAAGATAAACTGTCCCTTAGATGATGCAGAGAGGATTACTTTAAAGTTTGAGATACAGTATCTATAATGAAACTATAATGGAAATCCATTCTGTGTTTATACAGTAAGGAAACTTCTGGCTCAATCAGATATGACAATAAAGTATCTATGACTGAACAGACCATTACACTTCCATTTTTCTTTATTGTTTTATTGAAACATCTATAAACAAGACACAAAAGTAATGAGATGACAAATTCCACAGCTTCTTTCTCTACTATTTTTTTTGGTTTTGTCATTTGTGGCTTTCTTTACTTAAGAATTATTTTCTCCAAATCATTACTAATAATTAAAAAACAGTCTACTCAGTGAGAGAAAGGCCTCCTAAAAACCATTGGCAGATGATGCACAGGTATGTTCTGTGATGAGGTGGCGCTGTAGTGCATGTGTGTAAGTATTTGCAATATTGTCCATTCTCTTTGACAGATTCCTTCTGTATTCATTTTTGTTTTCTCTCCCTTCTTTTCCTGTTCAATGTTGGGACATTCTCTGCTAGGACGCCGTTTTCAGCCATTCCACAAACTCATCTAGCAGCACGGGCCCTGTGAAAAGACGAGGACAGAGGCTCGGTACAAAACCATGACCAAAATTACATATGTGACAGATCTAACACTCACAAGCTCCATCTTCATCGTAGTTACTGAGGTCTGTGTTAATGGTTCTGCTGAACTCCAGAACGTTGTACCACTGGTCTTTATTCATGCCTTTGTACTTTGATTGCTGTGTGAGTGACAAAAATATATAGCAATATAATCAATACATTACTTTACCTGAAGTACTAAATTTGTATCTCGCCTAAATAACTGACAGTTTTACCTCTAAGAACTGGTGGAAGACTGGGAAGAGCTGCCACGTCCTCCCCAGCAACAGAGCCAACATGGATTTAGCTGTGTCCATGTCCAAACTCCTCTGGTCCTTATCCTGATCACAGAAAAGGTTGTCAAGCTCACAGGAACCACTGTCTCAGTGTTGTGGTTAAATCTGTATAAGTAGACTCGAAACATATGACAAAGACTTTAATCCCTTGTTTACACAATTTTCCAGATTGTAATAATTTTTTTATTTGACATATGATGCCTTAGCATAAATATTTGCTTTTAAGCTGCATATTTTTTGGAGAAATTAATGTTAAACAAAGCAGCATCTGATGAACATTTTAGGTAAAAACAAGAAATTAAGTTCTTCCAATATGGATCTATTCTATTATTTTTTATAGAAAAAATATTACTATTATTAATTATTATGTTTAGAAATGTCCTATGGTAGTGACCAATTCAGTGACCAGTGTTTGCAACTACTTTATTTTAAATGAAAAACTTGTTGTGTGCACAGGACACAGGACAGTTACTTAAAATAATCAGTGCTGTAAAAGAAGATTTTGACAAGTGGACTTTGACATGTAAGTTTCGTACACACTCATTTTTTAAACTGCACAAACAAAAAAAGCAGTTCACTGACCCTGGAGAAGTCAAATGCATATCTGTAGACGTTTTTGAAGACTGTTGAATCGTTGAGCTCACTACGTAGGAAATCCAATTTACTCCGTAACCGCTCTGTGTTGTCACACCTGCAGGTGGGTGGTGGAACACGGTGTAAAATACTTATTAACAAAAGCATTCACACATCAGTAAGGTAACAGAGTAAAGCAGAGCAAAGTCTGATTTGTTATTTTAAAGTTGTATATGGGTTGTCTTACTGTAGTGACGTCATTCCCCTAAGCCACTCTTCTTTTGTGAAAAAGCCCATACTTGCTGCTTCTAGATGCCATGCTAAAACTAACATGATAATCTGAAAAAAAAAACATAATGGGGTTAGTCGTTGTTACACAATACAATGATACACAGATGCAGTTAGTGTGAAAGTAAACTGTCTGTTATGTTTAGCTTTTTGCATTTGGTTTAGACTGATTTAGAAAACAATACATTCAACAGAGTTTATTGCACATGGAATCACTTACATTCTCTGGTTCAACACCAATATCTTCACAGAACTTCTCCATAGCCTCTGGACCAACCACCTGGTCAAGACCAGCATACTCTTGGAACCAAGCAAGGCACTTCTTGGTGGAGAACACCTTATCATCGCTTATCTGCCTCGCACCACGGATCTGAAGTCGAGTAAAACTGCAAGAGTGTTCAGAAGTTAAACAATTCATAAAGTCATAAAAAGACATCAGCTTCCTCTACTTCCTATGCTTTAAATGACTGAGGTTAAGGGTTTATCCAAACAGTTTTGTTTTTTTCCATGATGTTTTTCTAACTTACTGCTCACACACCTAACAAAATCTAGATGCCGAGTATATATACCATAATGATAAGAGAAAATAAAATGACAACAATTTACCTTGTAATTTTACACTTGTGCTCATGATCATCTGTACCAGAAAGTTTTCTTTTCTTCTTTACGGGCATCACTAAACCTTTAACAGGCTTTACTAGCTGGGCTGCGAAGAAAAGAGCATTTAATTCAGTGCTTCTTCCAAGCTTTTCAGCAGCATTACTAGAATTATACATACATTAAATAACAATAATCGCAACAAAAGATAAAGTGATAAAGAATCTAACAATGATGCAGGACATACCTGTGTATTTATGGCTACCCTGTCCATTCAGATCTAAGATATTCTAGAAAAAAATATATTGTATTAATCAGTATAGTATAGATCAAGCATAGCATCTGAAAAAATGTGATACACTAAACACTATAACTAATGAGCAAATACCTCAAAACTTTTACCTTAGAATGTGAAAAAATGGGATTCACTTTTCCTAACAACATATTACTTTCATTCTTTGCCTCCTGTGTTCCATCTCTATTGCATTGTGTACTTCTTGAATCCAGCATAACTCTCATTTACACATATGTATTTTGGATTGCTTGAACTTGGCAACATTCTTCTTTTCTATGGTTCAGATATTCACTATTTGTCATTCACTTTATGGTTTTACCACTGATTACAAAGTTTTATTTGCCAACATTATTACTTTTGCAGACCCTTTTCTAGCAACATGCCTGTTCCCATTGCAAGAAGCCAGTGGCTTAGGTCTGATCCCTGTGATAACCCCACCAATACCATAAATGTATTTGTTACCACTGGCTAGCCATATATATGTAATACATGTCCTGTACTGCCACTCCAAATCCCTTTTTCATACATTACTATTGCTCTCTCCAAGTTCCTGACATTAACCTTCTATAGATAAACACTCTAATAAGTAGATTTGTAATAACAATTTCCGGAGAGGGGGTGTTTGTGTAAAACACATCAACATAAATACTTACAAGCTTGTCCAGCGTTTCTGTTTCTGAAAAATACAAAAATAGATATTTCGTCTTTCAGTTTTAAACACATTTTGGAATCGTCCAAACAATCATAGACCTTAGTTTCTAACACAGTGGACACAACAAAAAGTAAACCACATGATGATATGGTATTTCTATATTTACGTGGACATAGTTTTAAAACGCAAACGTTATGTAAATACATTGTTATCGTTCTAAAGCGCACTGCGTCAAACGAGTCTTGCGCCGACGTTAGCCGGATTTCGCTAAGGAGGCTAGCATGACAAACATGAAAATTTATGACCATGAATATTTATCTAGTGGATATTCTACTGTTTCAATAACCTTTATTAATTTTTTTAACAAAGATTGGCAGCTGGGCACTAGCATTTACCGTGGGACATCTTTTGTTTTCCAAACAGGGTAAATTCAGAGCTAAGCTGCTAACATTAGCTAGTCAGCCAAAACATGTTTAGCCTTACAATTACTCCATAACCGTCCTTCCTCTTTAGTTGCTGTAAGACATCATGCTTTGTAACAACTTACTGCGGATTTGGTCTTGTAAAAGAATTGTTACAACTCGTACTTTAGTCAATTTCTCCTCTCTCCGTCTGAAATCAACTCCACCTGCTTCTACTGCGCCGGGTAGTCACCGGCGCTTCCGGGGGATGAAACCATTTCGTCTCCTCACAGGGAAGATACGCATCATTATTGGTTCCATAATATTTGTACGCCCAAATATTTACCAACATATATTAACGAACAAGAGAACAGAAAAATACATTTCATCAATTAAATACATAATATAATTTATTTGACGTTGCACATGGTGACGGCACCGTTATTCTTTACTCAAACCTCCCCCTAAAATGAATAAACATTGACCTAACCTATTAAAGAAACAGGGCTGTGTTTTTGGCTCTCACGTGTTTGAAGTGGAATGGAGCTGTAGGATGTGTGACTTCAGTTGTGTTATCATTCCTCAAGGCCTTCTGTCTGTGTTTAAAGCATAAGTCAGGGTCCCGCTGATGACGCAGCTACATTGAAAATAATGACGATACCAACGTCATGTTTCTTATTATTAAATGTGACGTATGAAAGTTGTCAATTTAAGAAAATAAAGTCTTTATGCTTTTCGAAGCCCTGTATTACACATATGACATCTTAAGGAAACGCAAGAACACACTGTCTTCTTTAACTGTTGTTCACTCATCTAAAGATTCCATCACCCATCAAAAGAGAGAGAACCTTAGCAATGTATTCAACATTTTTAAACGAACTCAGTCTCTATAGTCAATGGTAAACCTCTGAGCCATCAGTTATAGCAGGCTTTATCTCTGAAATGACGACAGCAAGAAAAAATCTCTGATTATGTTTGTCTTTATTTTGCCTGAAAATAAATTAAAAATAGTTGAAACAAGCAAAATAAAGCAGCACACATAGGTATTGAAACCACTCTTCCACTCACACAACACAAAGTATCATGTCTTTACATGATGCAGTGTCAAACATTCAGCTGGTTGATGCTGGGAGTGATTGTGTTTACAACAAGTTTTTTAATCACCCAAGATAAAAAAAATAAAATAAAATAAAAAAAGACATTCACCCCACCATTTACATTCTGTTAAAAAGTGTTTCTAATTTTCTGGCCCTTCTATCATTTATTTGTAGAGACTAGAAAAATGAAAATATCACTAAAATGGTAGCCAGTTCAACTCCAATTCAGTAACAAACACCATTCATTGTACACACTTACAAAAGACTGAGTGAAGACCTAGTAAAGACGTGTGTTCTGTCAAATTGCAATAAATTGTTGAAAGTGTAAAATAGTCATTTACACCATTACACGCTGACAACAGTTCTTGAAATTACATTAAATGAATATGGGAATTTCCAATGAAAAAATCTAAAAAGAAACATTTGAAAAAAAAAAGGAATAGTGTAATAAAAATAAAACAACACAGTAAGTTATTACAGAATGATTCAGTTATGTTACATTTTAGGTAAAGAAGCCCAAACTGCTGTTGAGGTTCCAACACAGACATAGTGATTTGTTTTTTAAATGCTGTCAAGTAGATCATTGGCAGAACCTTGTAACAGTAGCAATTACATTATTTTGATTAACAAATTTGATTTAAAAAAAATATTATGACAAACTGTGGATGATAAATAGTCAGTCAGCTTTTTTCTGCTGTAATTCATATTTAAAAATTTATTTAATTTGATTTGTTTCAAATTCACTGTATGATTTACACTAAGTAGTTTGTCGTTTGACATCTCACACATACACACAAGTTCACACACACACACACACAAACTTGAAAAAAAAAACAGTGTCTAAAATGTAACACTTTAAATTTTTTGCAGTATTACAGGTTTTTCACCAAAACAAGACAAAGCAGCATGCCACTGTGGAAAGTGCAGACATAAACATTTTAAAGAAAAACACCAAGTCCTCAAATAAACACTCACACACACAATGATTTACTCACACATTCACAACATTTGGCAAAATACTCTTCGGTAGTTTAAACTAGTCTCTCCATTGATGTTGATCTTCATTCTTGTCGCCCTCAATTTTCAAAGTTAGGAACAATGGAGATAATAGGAGGGAGACCAAGTGGCTGCTGTTAAGATGGCAGCTGGGGCATAATGGGAAATCAAAGAATAGATGTCAACTTGATAGGTTTGTCCACTGCTATGCCTCTTAGCCTCAAGTTGCTGATTAAAGTAAGGCAGGAAGTAGTTCATTTTACAGTCTGTTTTTACCTCCCTTTGAAACGAAGAAAACTCCTTCGTGACCAGACACTAGAGGGTAGCATAGAAAAGCAGAGTGGCATTCCACAAATACATTCAACATTTTCTCCAGCACACATTCCCCTCATCACCATCCCGTCCTCTTCTTCAAGCATGTCATCTTCTCATCTTTCATGTTTTTTATGCTCCCATTGCAGAACAGAATTTAAAAAAAACAAAGCACAAAGAGCAGCGCCAATTTCTGTCTAGGCCATGTAGATGAAGGTGTTAATGTCTGTCTCATCCCTCTTAATGTATTTGTGTTCAATCAGCCACTCAATCTGTTCTTTGATCATCTTCTTCTGAGGCAGGAACATGTTCTTTAGAATCTCTACTAGCTCCGTCTGCAGTTGGGCATTGCTAATCCTCTTCCTCATCTTCATGATTTGTATAATGGCCTCCTGAGCAGTAAATAGAACAAAAGTTAGGTATGACTTTTCTAAAAATAAAATCTAGGAAAGAAAATTAAAATAATAACAAACATACAAAATTACATTCAATGAATGTATGATAAAAATGTACATGCAGATATTTATTGTATACATTACCAAGGGTGTAAGTATGTACATTTATATTGGACATATTGTGCTTCTTTTATGCATATAAATATGGAACTAATGGAGAATATATCTCAATATACCACATTACATTATATATCCATACAGTACAGGGTTTTATACCAATTACACTACAGGAACTGGTTTTGTGTGGTTTCTGTGTGGTGAAAACAATATTGCACAACCACGAGTAGTTGAAACAAACCTGAGTTCTGAGTATCCTGAGCTGAACAATTCCTTCGTTTTCTTCTTCCCTCATACGCTCAGTGGTCAACTGCAGTCGACCAATCAGATTGATCTTTCCCCGTTTCTGGACTTTGGAGTTTTTTCTTACAAAATAAAGACAGAAATGATCAACTGTTGGTCTGTTTTGTGTCTGTAAACGGCACATTCACAGGTGCAAAAAATATCTTTTATTTTTCAATAATAATAATTTAATCTTTCAAAATGATTTTTTTTCTCACTGAGTAAAATAGATATATAGATATATATATATTTTCAGTTTATTTCTAGAAAATAGAAAAATTCAGAACATACATGAGGGAGAAGTCTTGGTTCACGTAGAAGAGTGTGCTGTCTGTAAAGTCTTTGGGAGAGTTTACAGGAGGCTCATATGACAACACTTGTCTCTTCAGTTTAGGAAAGGCAACAAGGGACTGCAAAGATAAAAGACAGCAGAATTATAATAGGTTAAAAAGTTCACAATTCCTTGTTAAGTTTTCCACAGTTGAAAAGCTACAGTATGTGATGATGTAATGATATTTTCATGGTCCGACCCAAAGTGTGCGGCGCAGCTCAGCATCAGGCAGCTCTGTGGCCAGTTTGAGGTTCTCAAAGCTGATTCTTTCTCTCGGTCTCTGGTTCCAGGCAAACAACACAGCGAGCTGGAACGTCGTCACCTCCAGGTCGTACTGACCCACCTCGTTTTTAAAGGTGATCTGAGCAGAAAATTAATGACAAATAAACGAACCTAGTTATATAAAGGTCTAATAAGGCAATAGTTTTAAGGAGAAAAAACATAAACAAGCACTTTCTCTGGGTTGAACCACTGCCTTGTTCTGTGATGTCAACTACCATCTAAAATCCTTACAATTCCGTTGGACATGAGGTGATGCCAGTGGAGTTTGCGTCCACTATGATTCCTTTTGTAGAAATCCTCCACCTCTGGGATCAGATCCTCCAGCTCTGTGGGAAGCGACACAAAGACCTTCTCACTGCTTCTGGACCAGGCTCCAGCATTTAGGATCTTAATGTTCACGCTGTCAGCTGAGGACAAAATGAGTAGAGATCACATCTGTTAGTTCTGAAAGTTTTTCCAATTCAAGTGACTCAAGTGTGAGTCTTAGCTCACTTTATATTTTGCTATATAATATGTAACAGATCATTTTTATTGTTTGAGATGGATATAGATGGGAGCTCCTGTGTTTTATATTACCTGGAAGTGCTAGCTTGTTGTGTTTATGCACTTCTTTGAAGACTTGATTCAGATCCTCTGACACTTTAATGTCCTGGAACATCCGGGCCAGTTTGTTGACATAATCTGCGGGCATTCCCACTTCCTAAAGCAACATAAGGAATAAAAACACTATTAGGAATTGACTTATGCCATGTTGAATTTATCATGTATAGATTAAAACAACAAACAATAACAATGTAGAAACCACAATTAAATGTGGTGCAAGCATCTGGTTATTTCTAATGTTTGTATCAAGACAAATTCACAACCAGACATGAAGAAACAATATGAAAAAGTTTACTCAGCAGACATGAAGACTGATGAAGAAACAATATGAAAAAGTTTACTTTGCTTGTTTGTTGCTTTAAATGTGTGTCTGTTCTTTCAGTAATGATGAAGACTCACTCTCAGCCACTCCACCATGTTTTCCTCAATCTCACTGTCTGCTGAAATGTCCAGGATCAGGCGTCTGGTCAGGTGAGCTTTGTGGTATCGCATAAACACATCCTTATTCTGGACGTACTTCAAAACTAAGAGCTAAAATCATGACAGAGACAGATAACAGGTAAGTGAAAAGACAACAGAGTCTCAATACCAAGAGCCAGACTCAGACACTCACCACTTCTTTGAGTTTAAGCTCAATTTCCTCTGAGGTGAGTTTCTTGCTGAGGGGAGTTTTTCTGAGCAGCATGTCACAGTAGTTTGCCAGCAGCTCTGGACACTTGGACTCCGGCTGAGTCTTCATACCCACTCTGACCAGATCACAAAGATGTTTACATCTGTTTACTTAGTGTGAAAAAAAAAACCCAACTAAAATTCAGTTTTATCCTAATGTTATGAGAAAAGATTAACCTCACCCTTTTTGTTTCATAGGCAGTTCCAGTTTAAAGATTGTGGCATCATTGACAACAGCTTTGTAAGCCTGAGAGACAAAAAGGCAATGGGTCAAAGCAACAAGGCTGTAACTAATTATGGAGCATATTTATAGAGTGAGCCGTACATGATGACTTTTTCATACAAACAAAAAAAAATAGCAAAAGTAAAAGTAAAACAGAAATGATTGAAAAACCCTTTAATGTTGCTGAATTTCAATTTCATAACACTCACCTTATCTCTTGCTGTGAGGAACCGAGGGTCATCCTGGAAGGCCTCCTTCACCAACTTACTGAAGCGGTTAAACAACATCAGTAACTGCTCCACATACTTCTCAGAGTCCTGAAAAATTAAACATCTCTATTTGAACTCTTTGAAGTGTTTGGGATTGTAAAGAAAACACATTTTGAAAAACATCTGCATATTAGAATTTTAATCCTAAAACTTAAGAATACTTTTGTAAACCCTTTACGCTCTAATTGATTCAATGAGGAACTGTGTGTAAAAACATGTGCTCGTTCACATACAGTAGTTATGGTCTCAGCAGATGCCACCATGTCTGCTAGGCCAGCACTGATGATGTGTTCTTCCAGGTCTTTCAACATTGGCTCAATTCCATTGGGAACTTTATCCATCAGCGAAAACATAAGGTGCAACTCTAGGCCACAAAAAAACAAAAGAAAAACAAAATTGAAAACACATTTACAGTAACTTAAGATTTAAGTTTGCAGACAATTATTTTATTCTGGATTTTCTTTGTTCATTATTTGGAAGGGCTTGATTTGGTATCTCAGATAAATCAACTTTACTGCTTAGGTCTGACCATGATTGGCACAGTGCATGTGTTATAACCATAAGAATGTTTGACCCATGGTCAACATACTGAAGTATGTAAGTACTGAATAACAGTTACTAAAGATGTATTCACTTTAATAACATAAAATTGCTATAATAAGATAAGGGACAATAACAAGTATCTTTTACAGTTAAAAAACGAATGGAAATCAAACCAATATTTGAAATCTACTAAAGATCTTGTAACATAAGATCATAAAATGACAATAAAATGTAAAAATGGATGACATTAGGAGATCGGCTGTCAAAAAAGCCAAGACATTAACGTTAAAGAGCCAACAACCACAGCTCATCTGTGTTCCCTGCAGCAAAAAACACCCAACACTGAGAGAAGGTTGTTTCTATTTTAAAGCCTGGCTGATACAGCAGTGACCTGATGCCACTTTATGCAGCAGACGTTACTCGCCTCTCATGAAATGTCGTAGGCTCAGTTTCTGAGCAAGTCTACCTTATAATTATCAGGTCAAGGGTCCTACTGAAATACTGTAGTCTTGTTCAATGTGGTTCTAAACTACACTGCATTACCAGGACAAACAGACAACATGAAAACATAGTAAAAAAAGCACACGTGACTCACTGTCAGTCTCATTACGTTTGATCATTCCTGGACATTCAGCTAAGATGGTTTCTTTGAATGAGGTCACCAGAGCATTCACACAACATTCCATAAGCTGCAAGGACATTAAAAATATCAATTAGGAAAATATAAACAGACAGAGTGCTCATTTCCAAAAGTGCAATTCTTACACCTTTGGTGCATGAACTCATTATAAAAATCAGGCTTGAAAACATTTATCAGACAAAGCACAACCCAATTACATTAATTTAGTAAATGTGAAGCCACTAGATAAATCCTATAATACAATCTGAGATGAGTCCATGAAAAACACTTACAGCTTGAACAGAGTTACATTCACGCCTGGTCTCTAAATATCTAAGTGCTCTCTTCTCCTCCTCCCTCAGCTTTGTTTCAGCCTGCACAAACACAAACATAAAGTGCATCAAAGCATAAAACAACAATGACAATGACAGTGAAAATGTACAGGGGACTGGAACTGCACTCATGTTTATCCATACTGTTGTGCCATACATATTTCATGTAGTTCTGGACGCCGTTTTGTTGTAGGTAGGACAGCGCCTGGGTTCTGTAGAACCTCTCTGTGGAGTCCAGATAGGCTTTCTCAAAGTTGTCCCTGTAGATCTGCAACTTGTCTTCTGGGTTGGAACACAGGTTCACTGGTGTGTGACAAAGACAGGAGGACAGAAAATTGGTCAATAAAAGAGACATGGTCTTGACCCTGGCAGTTTGTTTACATTTTTACATTTTCGGTGCATAAGAGACACAATAACATGTGGTTCAGTGTATATTATTCTCTCACATTTTCTTATGTCAATCTTATTATGAGATAACATTTAAAGTAGTATTACAGTAGTTTTACTGATGTTCAAATTAGAATTACATCTTACCATACGACTCACGAACTCCGATCACCAGCTGGGAGTCGAAGGCCTCCCCCAGCCTCTCAGCATGTACCAACTTCATGGCACTGTCCTGTAAGCGGCTCTTAATGTTGGAGAAGATTGATTCATTCCACGTGTCCAGCATCAACTGAAAAAAAGTTGATAAATGTTAGACTAAATAAAACAACTCACAACAATAGACTGTTAATTGTTTTAAAATTATGATGATGATATGTACCGTAAGCCAAGGGTTGTAGAAGTGTGAAAAGGGCATTATTGTAATGAAAACTCTTTGCTCTCCGCCACTTATGTCATGTTTTATTTTTTTGTTGTTGCTTGGTGCATCATCTTCCTACCTATAGCTTTACAGAATGAATGCTGTTCTTCTCACCTTGCGTACAATGCTGTCCTCCATGTTTGCTTTCTTGTTGCTGCCCTGTTTCCCCATAAGTGTGATCTCCAGCTGGCAAAAGGGTTTTGGGAGGATGTCACACTGGGTGAAGAACTTCCGCCACTCAGCAATGTAAGCTTTGAGCAACGCCGTGTCATCCTGGTGACTCAATACTCGCTACAGATGGATAAGGTTAGAGACGACTGTTAATCTATAAACTACTTGAAAATGTACTGTTACCTGTCAAAAACAGAGTGAAATCTAAAGTGTAAGAGTAATCTTTCTTCAAATTAAAACTACTTGATACATTTTAAGCATTACCAAAATAAAAAAAACAAAAATCAATCATTGACCAGACATGACAAAAAAAAGCAAACTTACAGCCTGTGCCTGTTTGATAAAGTCTAGAATGTCTTCTTTGAGAGCCTGATGGATTTTGGCCGGTCCTTTATCATCCCACAAACACACAGCATGGACGTCTCTAGTAAAAAATATGTCAAATGCTTTTCTTGGTCCCAAAAGTAGAGTTTAGACATAAATCATCATATAAAAAGCTAAATTGCTAAAAGAAAAAAAGTTTAGACATAAATCATCATTTAAAAAGCTAAATTGCTAAAAGAAAAAATACAGAACATTAAAAAAGTATTCTGCAGGAATTGAAAACAGAAGTTTTTGCAAAAAGGTTTGCACAAATCAACAAACTATTCACAATTGACCATGATCTATTAAAGCCTTTTGTGAAAATGGTTTTTGTTGATTTTTATATAGCTATAAGGGGAGACACTTTTTCATTTTAACCTGCATAACTTGACCTCAGATTAAATAGAAAAGAAAGAGAGGACTGTAAGCATCTCTTACGAGAACAAGTCAAACCACTGTTGCTTAGTGACGGCCTCCTGTCTGAGCAGCTTGAGAACGATGGGTCGCATCAAATCCCACTTGTCTTCAAACTGCAGGGAACCCTTGTTCTGGGGGCGAACAAGGAGGGGTGAAAGGAAGCGTACAGTTAAAATGAAACGAGTCAGAAAGGAGAAGGTAAAAGAAAGGAAAAGTACTGTAGATTGGACATCTAGGAAAGTAAACATGGGCTCAGGTCAGAGTTCATGTTAGCTAATCCTAGCCACCTGCATGGTAGGATCGTTGTCAATGTCAGAGCACTGTATTATTAGACATTGTTTGGTCAAAACAGCTGTGTTTATGTCAATATCTGCAGGGAATCGAGTATGTGAATGTTAATAATAGGCAAACATCGTTGCATACTTAAACGTAAACAGTTTGCCATAATGGTGATATTCAGGTATTTTGCTCTCTGGTCGTGATTTCCTTGGGTTTAATGGTCCTTTCTTTTAAGTACGATTATTTTTCTGGGTGTACATAGGACGTTGTATTGTCTTAAACGTGCCTCTGCCAGTGGTCATCATCACTAAGGCGTAAGAGCGTGAAGGTACGTTTCACTACAGTCATAATGGTGCATTTCACCTGCCATTAGCAAGTGTCGTGTTTGTCAGACTTAGCAGGTTAGCATTATGAAACACAGAGTCAGTTTACGCTTTGACACTGACGGGAGAACCGCTGTCCGGTGCTGGGGTGAGTGTTCCTTTCGAACCGGTGTCTTTTTCTGGGTATGGCTCGAATCTGCACATGCCCGTTTGTTGTGGTATCTGACTATGGAGACCTTGTAAAAGTCTCGAGTTGAAGCTTCAGTAAGGGCTCACTGAAAGGACACGTTTTTTAAAACCCGGCTGTGTTTCAATTCTGCGTGAAACCGACACCGGAGTTTAACAACGACAACGGTGTCAACTGTGACTTCAGGCAGACCTAATTTGTGCTTTCATTTATTTTAAATTACCTGTCTGGGACAAATATTTACAAGGCACAGTGGAAATTAAATAAGTTTTCAGTTTCGTGGGGGAATTTTGCATGGTCAAGGAGTTTAACGCAAGATATACATAAAATAAATAGAAAAAATCCAAGTGTTCCTTACCTTTAACAAATTAGACGCCGCCATGTTTCTTCAACTTATCACCTCGCGGATTCTCGCGAGAAGGGGCTACAGCTGACATAAGATTAGGTCATAACAAGATAGCGGTCCTGTCCCAAATAATAACACTAATCGCTCTCGCTATGAACATAATATTTTATATTTTAGGAGATTTAATCACAATGCTGAAAAAAATATATAAGCAATTTTTACTGGTACAGGTAGTTTGCCTTCAGTGATTATTATGGCTTTATAAATCTTTAATATTTTCGATATTTAGTTGGAGACAACCCTTATTCTTCTTACTATTATTATTATTTTATTGTTTGTATTATTTAACAACTTAAAATTACTAGTCCAGTAGTGTGGAAATGTTGTAACTCTTGCACCATTTTATAATGTGCCAATATAGGTGCCGATGTTACTGACCTGAAAGTGCATTCTTAGTTTCTTTTCTACCTTACAGTGCTTAATAAAACCAATACTCTCAATATGTTTACCTCCTGGTATTTAGTAAGAAGAAATCACTGAACACGTCTTGAATATGTTTTATCACCAAGTCTTATCTTGAGGTGCTACTGACTTTCTTCACATACACACACACACACACAGAGAGAGAGAGAGAGAGAGAGAGAGAGAAAGAAACACGTGCGCATGGACACAAGTGAAAAAGTAATCTTTGTCCTTAAACTCAGTTAATCATTCAGCTAAGACATCCAGAGTTAGAAGTGTCTCAAAGACAACACTGCCTCACTTTCAGAGTTATGTCTCTGAAACAGTCTGAAGACCAGTCCGGTGAGGTGAGCTATGAAAGCCAGAGTAACAGACTCATGATGAAGATCAGGAAATTCAATCCAAGAAAAATCTTCACCTGGTAAGAGAACAGAATAAATAGCCGGGGTGTATGGAGCTTAAAATACAACAATCAATGTATCAATTAATTACCAGAAGGAAAATCTGATATTTACCCTTAGAGATTTAAGTGTAAATTTGTTAAATGTATCCCTTTTCAGGGATACTAACATCTAGTGCTAGTACGCATACTGTTAAATGTTTTTAACATGTTTGCACATAGTCATGAACAAATGGTAAAATTAGGCAACAGCAAAAATCCACCAAAAACCATGGAATTATACTGTATAATATTACAAAGGAAATGTATTATATAATTTCTGAGGGAAAATTGTGTGTAAGGGATAAATGTATTCATATATCTATAACATCATATTGTACACTTCCTATACAATACATTAAATTGTGATTATCAGGAATATTTGTCAAACTAATTTTAAAAGCCATAGTGCTAAAATGTGGATTTTTGTTAAATAAGTGCAGCTATTAAAAAGTTGGTTAAACATATTAAATTTAGTTGGTTCTTAACTAGTAAAAAAATCCACAATATCATATGCCACAATAGCATTTTAAAACCTCCCTCAAAAATGGTTACTCTAAAATAAATAGAAGATGATAAAAAAACAGCCACTGTAATCAGTAACAACAATGTGCTTTTAAAGAAGCTTAAGTTTGTGATGATTCCTTCTATTATTTATCTATTTTTATGGTGCTACTGTATTGTAAGTTGTGCATAGCAATGTTAAGGTGAATGATTCTTAAAAATAAATGAGAGCTCTAATGATTTACTTCTTTCACAGGCAATTGGCCAAGACCTTGGCAATGGGTCAGGGCCTGGCTGTCCTCATCTGTGGGACAGCCATCAGCTCCCAGTACTTAACGACCAACTACCACGTGAACACGCCCATGCTGCAGAGTTTGTTAAACTATGCCTTGCTATGTCTCACCTACGTGACAATGCTACTCTTCAGAAGAGGTAACCACATCACTGCAGTTAACTATTACTATATAACACTGTGACATGATCAAAAGTCATGTCAGTATGAACTAGATGTTACTGATTCACCTGTGTTATGCTGTTGTCACGCTGATAAACAATCAATTATTGCTACTGAAAATCAGGGCTGTCCCCCTTTAAAACATAGGGGATGGCAATATTTTTCAGATTCTGAAGAAACGATGGTGGAAGTACCTCCTGCTGGGCTTTGTGGATGTAGAAGCCAACTACACAGTGGTTAAAGCATACCAGTACACTACCCTCACCAGTGTCCAAGTAAGTAGGAAAAAATGTCCCATCTAAATGTATCTTTAAAATTAGAACTTTTTCTGTAATGGTGTTTCTAATATTTTATCATATATAACATCGCCTGCAGCTTTTGGACTGCTTTGTGGTGCCAGTCCTTATGATTCTGTCCTGGTGGGTATTGAAGTCACGCTATACGCCGGTCCATTACGTGGCCGTTTGCGTCTGTCTCCTTGGTGTGGGGACAATGGTTGGAGCTGACCTACTGGCTGGACGAGACCAGGGTTCCAGTAAGATGTTTTTATTTGCAGCTATTGACGTGGCTATTGACATGTCTGATATGACTACTGTTTATCAAAACACTTCACAGTTTGTTGAACTGCATTCAGAAAGTGTTATACTAAGTGTTATATCAATTACAGGATAAATGAAAAGACGAGATTTAGTTAGTTAGATAGTTAAACACTGTAGTACAACAGTGCCAAGGAAAAAAATAACAAAGAAATATAGTGTATTAAAAAAAGACTAAACAAGAAAAAAGGATAAATTAACATTACACTCATGAAGTTGAGTTTAAAACTGTGTGATATTAAAGTCCATGGTCTTTTGTTCAACAGATTAGTGTACAAAACAAAGTACCTCATGCAAGGATTTAATGATACAGTGAGAAAAAAAAATCCACAATGTTCAGGCAGAATAGTAATGATTGCCTCTCACATGGCAGACCTTAACTTATAAGTTGTGGGATTATTTAATGTATTGTTTCTTGTTTCTTCTCAGGCTCAAATGTCTTGTTAGGTGATGGTTTGGTGCTTCTCAGTGCTACACTGTATGCTGTGTCTAATGTGTGTCAGGAATATACAGTAAAGAACCTGAGCAGGGTGGAGTTCCTGGGCATGATTGGCCTCTTTGGTACAGTTATTAGCACTGTGCAAATGTAAGTGATTGTGAATATAATAAGTCTAAGTGATGACATCATAATAATGTGAATTATTTTACTTATGCAGGGTGATCTTGGAACGCAGTGAAGTTATGAACATTAGGTGGAGCTGGGAAGTGGGTCAGTAGTTGAGAAATTATTTTTGTCTTAGCTTTGGTACAAAACAATATCAGTACTTTCACCTGAGCAAAACCCACTATTGAAAGAGATCATTATTGACATGAATGTCTTTTCCCTCAGGGCTTCTATTCTCTGCTTTTGCCCTGTGTTTGTACACGTTGTATAGCTGTATGTCCATAGTGGTGAGACTAAGCAGCGCCACCTCTGTCAACCTCTCCCTGCTCACTGCTGATCTCTTCAGCCTTTTCAGCGGGCTGTTCCTCTTCCAGTACAATGTAAGAAACAACACGCATGCATACAATAACAAAGAAACACACAGACAGGTTTCTGTAACCACTACACCAACACAACCAAGAAACAATTTTAACCATTTTTTTAAATAAGTAACCCATAAATCACCCTAGGCGTAAACAGTAGCTTTAATAGCGAGGCGCATTTAGTCAACTGGAAATTTTTACTAGTGAATTATTGAGGCAAAAACTATAAAATACCAACTGATATTTTGATTCAAATGTAAAGTTCTTCTTACCATCACAAAAGTTGCTAAATTACTGTCTCACATTTATTATCTGGGTTAAGCAGACTTCCCTCAGGCTTTAATACAGTGTTGACCTAAATCACGTCTTGTCTTTCCTCAGTTCTCTGGACTTTACCTGGTCTCTCTGGTTGTCATTCTCATTGGCTTCATCATGTATAATGCTGTTCCCACACCCACTGCAGCTGATCCTGTCTGTTCTTCCTCCTCCATTGAGGAAGAACAGTGTGATGATCTGGCAGCATCTCAGAATGAAATGACAACCCAGGTAATAGTTTTAGAGATAACTAACCAAGAAAGAGAGGGTGATGAAAAAGAGTGCCATATAGATGAAGAGACAGATGATGGTTGGAAAGACAAGAGGAGGAAAAAAAAGAGAGGACAAAGTTTTGGAGAAGAAAACAATGATGTATTTTTTTGCACTAAAATGTGACCCCTGGTAAAATGTACACATTTTGTTTATTTATTGTGTCTTGCTTGTAAAATAGTAAATGACCCACAAATGATTAAAACAGTTGTTTTGTAAATTTTATAAACCATTCCTCGTATACCTTTTTGTATTGATATTATTTTATATATTTTGTTTTTGTGTGTGGCATCTTCTGTAGACTTAGTAGAATTAGTTTATGTGCTTTAAATAAAATAAATGGTACTAAGTCGTGATATTTTCTATATGTTATCTTTTAAATTTAATGTTTTGAAATAATTTTAAATTTTGTTAATTGTGCTTATGTACTGGATTTAATTTTTGATGAATAATAACATCGGACATCATTGTTGCACATAGGATTTCAACTAAAAACAGAGCTATTTTATTTTATTATATTTTATTTTATCGCTCCTAATCCCGTGTTGACGCCTGACGTCAGCGTGTATCGTTGGGCGGGCCTGTTGTTGTCTTTGTAGTCCAGCAGTCGAGCGTCATCCGCGCCTTTCATCCTCTCAGACACACACTTGTTCTGTAAAATCCTACGATTTCTTCACTATCTTAGTCAAGAAACACCTATCAGTTGGTTGTTCCTTCAGCCCTCTTCTGCGTCCACTCACCATGGGGAACTGTTTGACCGTGGGTCCAAACGAGGCTCTGGTTGTCTCCGGTAAGTGCTCCGCTTCTTAGACCGTGTTAGCGAATCCGCACGCCGCGGTGTTTATACCAGAGCTCACGGCCGGTGGTGAAACTGGCCGTTACAGACTATCAGACCGACGAACGTTCACTGGCTCTTATTCGTGTTAAAATGCAGCTCCAGTGTTAATCTGCTTTGGCTAAAAATAGGTTGGTTTCTGCTAAGACTCCACACAAATCTGTTTCTGCATTGACATCACGGTGGAGCCGTGCTCAGCTCACACAGACCGCAGCACTGACAGGTGTCTGTTCATCCACAGGGATGAAGACACTAGGCCCAGAACTAATCTTCTGTGATCACGGGCCTTGTAACATGAAGGGGACTTTTGACATATTGCGTTTTTCCAATGTTATGTTGTCAATAATTCCAAAATAATGTATAAGTATTATTTACAGAGCGCTCCCAACCCACTTACTGGAGGTAATTCACATCAGACTGTAGTAGAGTATAATGAGATTTTGTAATTGTTCTATAAGGTCTCACAAATCAAGATCGGTTTAAACATCCTGAATTAAAACAGGGAGTACAGTTGAATAGCATATAGTGATAGAGATTTAAAGGAAGTCAGTGTAGAGTTGGTGAAAGTTGCCTGTTGCTAATTTCAGCTGTAGTTTTAAAACCATCCTGTCAGAGCAACGTCAACGACAATCCATAATAATAGCACAGTTTGAGGCTCTTGTCTCCAACACATTGAATGAATGAATCCATTTGCCCCAGGTTTGAGCAGTTTTCTGTTGATAATTCCTAGTGAGAATGGCACAGGTTGGTGATGTCTTGGGCACATAGATTGTTCTGGGAAGTTGAATGGTTGGTGGTTAATGCAATGTATTATTGATGGGAGACATTGTTTCTTGTGGCCCAAGAGCACAGGTCATCAGTCATTATATACAGAAGAGCATTTTAAGACCTTTTCTGCAAGATCAGATCTTCTACTCACAATATTCAAATTATTTCAGTCGTAACAACTTAAAATGACACCTGACCTTTGATAACTGTGCTACATTGTGAATGTATTGTTGAAGTGTAAAGTGTCTCAAGACATGCAGTAGTTCTTTTTTTTTTTCATTTCAAAATGTATACTGATCTGTTAGGTACTGATAAAAGTACTCAAATAAGTTCTGTATGACTTTTCTAATTGTTTTTACTTAGTATTTACTGCATTGCGTCTGTGTATTTAAAACGTATCGTGTAGTAACATCTGAAGATTATTTGTTGTGCATTACCTTCATTTTTGTTATAGATTAAAAATGTGTTTAATTTTAACCCTAAAGTCTAGTCTTTACTGAAATCCCTGTCTTCCCTCAGGTGGCTGTTTGGGCTCTGATGATAAAACCTACGTGGTTGGAGGCTGGGCCTGGGCCTGGTGGCTCATCTCTGATATTAAAAGGTAATAACATTGTACAACCCAGGTTTCAAGGTGTTTCTTTAAAGTCAACAAGTCCTAATGAATGTTTTGAAAAGTCCTTCAGTTGTAACTAATGTGAGTGAAACGGCCAGTGTTTTAAATGAGCCACAGCTGAAATGGACATTTGTTGCCTGGGATTTCCACTGGGATGTCACTCCCATTATCAGGGAGTGAGTAAACAAGCCGAGGATGAAAGCTCCTCTACCACCCTGTACTGAGTCTCTTATTACACTGTTTGCACCAGCTCCTTTTTCACTGTCAGCTTTTATTACATATATACAGCCATTACCACTTCTTGGACACACGTGCTGTGTCTCCCTGTCCATATCTGCCAAAACATTTGTCACAGCTGAACATCTATAATAAATGCAGCTTTGTTCACAGGGTTCACAGCTGAGATTTGTTATTTGCTGCAGGATAAGCTTGGAAATCATGACTCTGCAGCCACGATGTGAAGATGTGGAGACAGCAGAGGGAGTCGCCATCACTGTCACAGGAGTTGCTCAGGTAAAAACACTTCTGAAACAAAAAGTTCAAAAATCTGTAAAAAAAACAATAACAAAAACCCGTTATAGTTCTTTTTTCCTTATAAAGGTGCATCAAAGAATTCCTATTAAAATGTTTTATGAAAAGCTGAGCAAGTTTAGATAGTGCTCCTCACTATTTATTTCTCAACACATCCCTTCACTTCATTTTCTTTTAGGTGAAGGTCATGACAGAGCATGACCTTCTAGCAGTGGCCTGTGAGCAGTTCCTGGGTAAATCAGTGGTGGAGATCAAATGTGTTGTTCTACAAACTTTAGAGGGACATCTGCGCTCCATTCTTGGTACAGACAAGTAACCATTTCCTAACTTATTAACATCAGTTATATTTTGCCCTCTCAACTCTCAAATCCAACATATAAAAAGATAAAAACAAGCAGATTCATAAAAAGTGAAAATTTATAATGATTATAATGTGTTGTTTTTATACAGGATTCTAGCAATTCAGTTGCCCTCATACAAGTAACTAAATATATAAATGTAAATACAAAGTTACATTTACCATTAATAATTATTCAGTTGGCTTTTGTTAGTTCAAACCTAAAAGATTGTTGAACACATGATCTGAGACAAACTGCTGCTGCTGGTGCTTTTAACTGGTACATCTGTTTCTGGCAGGAACCCTGACGGTTGAGCAGATCTACCAGGACAGAGACCAGTTTGCTAAACTGGTGAGGGAAGTAGCTGCACCAGATGTGGGCAGAATGGGCATCGAGATCCTCAGCTTTACTATTAAGGTAGGTCAAAAAACCTAACCCTATCCAGGCTGTTCTAGGTTGTTTAGATCTGGAAGGATAATACTATAATATATACTGTATATACACATAACCATTTACTCAACTTTTACTACAGAGTGATTAGGCACATTTCTGTTTGCAGTACATATCAATTTTCTGTTACAAGTTATATGGTAAATATCACAACTAGTATCAGCTGATAAACCAATAAGTGATTTTCTGTTACAAGTTAGTATCAGTAACTAGTATCAGCTGATAAACCAATAAGCACAATACAATAAGAAAATGATGTCATCATCTTTTTGTAGAGCACCCACAGTTTCCTGTTTTTGTGCAACTGCAGACAAAATCTACTTTGATCAGCTGTGACCACTAAAGTATCATGCAAACTATTTTCTGCTCTATGGAATCAGCCAGTGTTGAACAGTAATTGGCTGACTGACTCACTCAGTCTGCGCTGTTACTATTTTCTGCTGTATGGAATCAGCTGACTGACTCACTCAGTCTGCGCTGTTTACTCTTGGTAATGAGAGCTAATTGAGCCACAGACATTTTCTGTAATAGCATTAAGTGTTGGTTGTTTCTTGTGATGCATGAGGAGCATTTTTTTTCATCCTTTACAATCAGAATTGTGTGTCTTTTACTTAATGTTATTGTTATTTATGTTACTTAATTTAAATTGTAAATAAATAAATAAAATTGTCTGTCGTATGTAATATTAGTTATGAAATAAAAATATATTTACTTTCTCCTTGATTAAATTAAATCTAAATTGGTTAAATGCAAGCATTATTAGTACTGATGATTAATGGACTCTTTGAATCAATTAATTATTAACCGAGACTTATTGTAATCTGTAATGACAGTCACATGTTGATAATATAACTATTAAACACCATTAAGTGTAATTTCTTCATTTTTTTTAATATCATACAACCATTAATTAAGTAAGCACTTAACAATCAAATTAATTTACCAATGGCCCAACATCCATGTCATTTGTCACATTTACAGGTTCATCATTTGAGTTTTATTTTTAAAACGTCAGTCAGTTATTTCATCCAGTGCTCAACCCCAAGTTTTAGTTATTTCATCCAGTGCTCAACCCCAAGCTCATGGTGTGATTTATTTCTTTGCAGGATGTGTTTGATAAACTGGATTACCTGAGCTCTCTTGGAAAGACACAGACTGCAGCTGTCCACAGGGATGCAGACATTGGCGTGGCAGAAGCAGAGAGGGATGCTGGGATACGGGTATGGTTGTGGGCATGCCATTCTTGACTCATGATAGTTGTTGTGAAAAAAAAACTGAATACAAACTGATCACATTTTTTTCTTTTTCTAACCATCATTTAGGAAGCAGAATGTAAGAAAGAGATGATGGACGTGAAATTCCAGGCAGACACGAAGATGGCTGACTCCAAGCGAGAACTGGAGCTCCAGAAAGCTTCATTTAATCAGGAGATCAACACCAAAGTGAGTCTGTTGTGATGTTACAAGCTTCACAGTCAGTCACACAAACCAACACATCATGGATATGCGTTAAATGTTATAAAAATTAAAAAGTCTTCTTATTCTCATCCTGAGAATAACAATATGCCAAGTGTTGCAATAGTGTTACTGCTGTAGAAAACAGTAGGTCTCCTCTGATGTTTCCAGAAAGCACAAGCTCAGCTGGCATATGAGCTGCAGGCAGCCAAGGAGCAGCAAAAGATCCGTCTGGAGGAGATCGAGATCCAGGTGGTGCAGAGAAAGAAAGAAATCACCATCGAGGAGAAGGAGATCGATCGCACAGACAAGGAGCTCATTGCTACAGTGAAGAGACCTGCTGAGGCCGAGGCTTACAAAATGCAGCAGCTGGCCGAAGGACACAAGTAAGTAAAACACTGTCATTCAGTGTGGACCTCAATCAATGAAAAATAATGTATCACTTACCACTGGAATTTTAGAACAAAATTCTGGATGATTTTAGATTTGTAGATTTTAGTCAGTGAAGTAAACCTGCAGACTATATTTGTCCTCTGACTGGTAACTTCATGTCCCATGATCCTCTGTATTGTATGGTGAGAAGACGGGATGTTGATTGTAAAACGTTACTACATCTGCTCTTCACATGGTTAATGGTTTAAATACAAAGGTAAAAGAGTTAAAAGAAACAATGAAAACTCAGGTGTAGGATAACAACTTTTCCTAAAATGTCCAAAGACTTTTTAATAGGACAGGGTCAGGTCTGTGTGAAAAGTCTTTTCTTTGGCTATTATAAATTAAAGGTGAAGTCCATTCAGATTACAGGATGTTTTTGCACATTTAGAAAGTGAACCAACTTTCCTCTAGATAGGGTTTTGTTTTTGTTTTTTTAACTTTTTGTTCCTTTCCTTTGACAGGACGCAAACAGTGCTCCTCGCACAGGCCCATGCAGAGAAGATCAGGAAGGTTGGTGAGGCAGAAGCTCTCTCAATTGAAGCAGTTGGCAAGGCTGAGGCTGAGAAGATGAGACTGAAGGCAGAGGCCTACCAGCAGTATGGAGAGGCTGCTAAAACTGCCATGGTCCTGGAGGCCCTGCCCAAGGTAACTCACAGTCAACTTTGAATAGTGTACATTTGTTTGCTAATTTTTGACAGCTTAAATGGTCAACATTAAGATAAAATTACCTCAGATTTAATTTAAAATAGGTTTTTAAGAATGTGCTATTTCATTGTCTTGCTTTAAGTCTTGTCTTTCTGAAATATTGTCTAGTCTCACATGGTCCTTAGATGCACCAAATCTGGCACTTTTATGTCATTTTATTTTTTTTATTTTTCTGATATTAGAAATAAATTCCAATGTAAGTATTGATTGAAATCCTGTCTGTAGTTATGTGAGTAGTTCCAGTACAACACTCACAAACATACAAATGTAATTATAATTATAACAAAAAGTCATTTATCAAAATAATGAACTTAACACATGTACTACCATGAATTAGTGCAACAGATTACCAGGACATATTTTTATGAGAACTCTTTTTTGTTTTTTGCAGATTGCTGGCAAAGTGTCGGCACCGTTATCCAGGACTAATGAAATTGTCATCTTGAGTGGAGAAGGAAACCGTGTGACAGGCGAAGTGAACCGCCTGTTGGCTGAACTTCCTGTGTCTGTCAATGCACTCACCGGAGTGGATTTGTCAAAGGTAAGGATACTAATCTGAGAAAACACTCATGGAAGGTGGGTGTGATCCAGTTTCTTTTTTCCCTAATATTTTGAACAGTAAGAGGCAGATAGAAATGTGACGGTATTGTTGACCAAACAGGTTTAATTTCCCAAATTATATATTGAAAAATGACATCTACAATATGCTAAAATGTTTGCTTTCTGTCTTTGTGTGTATGTGTCCATGTCCAAATGGAATTAGTGTTACCAAGCCATTTGGTGGTAGAAAGAAAACAATTCTGAACCGATAACTAATTTTGGTTAGTCATGGAAAAGTCATGTGGTTTTATCAGAGTCTGAATAATGCGTTTTTTATTTCTACAGATCCCATTACTGCAGAAGATGGCGAGCAAACAAGCCTGAGCACTGGTGATTTTGATGACTCTTGTTCTGTTGTATGCACTCTTAAAGACTGCTTTTAATACACTTGAAAATGTTGTTTTCTACCTATATACCATATATCCAGTACGTTTTGGAAACCTCTGGTGCCTTAATTTATATAGGACCAGAAAATCTGCATGCACTGCTGCTCATTGAAGACATTTCATTTAATTTTATTACTGGAACATTCCTTGGTAAGATCTATATTTTGGGGGGGGGGGGGGGTTGTGTTGGGGTTGCAATTTTCTTTTTGTGAAACCAGTGTGAAGACATTGTTGATTGGGGGTTGTTGGAGAAGAGATGTGAATGGTGACTTTACCCGTTAATATTTATGATGCCATGTAACAATCTGGACACGACTGCTGTTTCAGAAAAAAGGTTTCTCTACGTGCTGTAGAATAATTTTGTTGATTTTATTTTTTGCGTGAGATCTTTTTGCATTCATTGAATGATTTAAATGTGTAACATTTTTGTAACTGAAATGTTATCAGGTATTTTATGCTTGTGTTTTTTATTTTTTTACAGTGTAACAAAGGTGCTCACAACCTTTATTTTTTGTCATGTATTTATTGTTGGATATGGTAAAGTAAGGTTAAAATGTTACTTCAAAAATGATTATAAATAGTCTCTTATTTCACAGCAGGGGAAGATGTTGAAATCCTGTCTATTGAACTTTGAATTCTGCAAATTCTTGTAAATTCTCTGCCATGTTTAAACTTTTATCTTTTCACAAAACAACTTATTTTTGTGCATCCAGGTGTTCACTGATGTGCACACCGTTGCATAGAACTAGTTTATGTCAAAGACATCCACAGTAACCTCAGAGCTACAATCATCTCCAAAGCTCACAGACTGAGATATACAGTTTGATTGAGAAGATAGAACAAGTTTGTTTTATTTTGTGTTTTAGCACACTTCCATAGACAAAGAGATGACTGTTATGAGTTGTAATATTATTTTTTTGTCATTTATTATTCATCAGACTATTGTTTGGTGTGTGTTATGTATTTGTGATAAGCAAATAAGCACTGGGACATTCTTTTTAAATTGTTTACAGGCAAATATTTTTAACTTAATGTTCATTGTGTAAACTGTAATCTTTGATTTGTGAAAACTTTAATTGCATTTCTAATGCTGTTGAGTCCTTTGTCCCTGTGTCCCTGTATGGTCTTGCTGCATGTCATCCACCTGTACTTAAATCATCAGTTCAATCTGAGCTCATTGTTTCTCTAATAAATCAGAAATGCTATAATTTATTATTGTTTGCAGTTTCCTGTTGTTTTTATTTATTCACACATTACACATTAAATACACATTTAATATAATTTTAACAGGATTTCACTCAATTCCTACAGCAGCTGCTCTTTTTACTAGTATTTTTTATAATTACCTGATAATTGCCTAATTAAAAGACCTATGGATAAAGAGATGGTTAAAAAAACCTTAAAGACCTATGGATAAAGAGATGGTTAAACTTTTTTGATTTTGTCTATTATCTTTTCTTATATACAGATAATAAAAAGAAATACAATATTGATTAAGGTAACCATATCTTTTATGAAAGGGGAGGAATGCAAAAAGGCAGATAACAATGGATTTTGTGAAATGGGTAACAGTGACTGGTCAGCACATACATGAAGGAGGTAGAATAGAAGATACAAAATGTATTAATTGGTGTCTGGGGAAACTTAAGGAAGACAGCATTTGACTGTAATGTGATGCAGGATGTCAGTGAAACAAAGGCAGTAAAGGCAATTTTTTGGAAGTCTAACAAGCCCTTGAAGGTAAAAGAAAAAAAATTAAACTGGTGAGAGAAAAGTCTCTCCAGGTTAAAAGAAGGGAAAGGTTGGCTTTAGTTGGGCAAGGGGATAGCTTATTCTCATGTTAGATGTAGAATAAAATCAGGGGTGTGTACAGTGATAAAATATGCAATGTTTTTGTTTCTTTATATTCCACCACTGTCTTTTACACAGTGCACACATGTATAGGACTGGGTGACAAATTAGTAGTTTAGTTTTTTTTTTTTTAGGAGAACCTGTTAGACAGTTGCATTTACAGCAGAGTCAAGCCTCCATTAGAAAAGGCTGGATCATGGTTGACACCCTAGTCAGGACTTTTACACAGGCATATACGTCTGACTCCTGAATGCAGAAGCCGAGGTCCTTTGTGGTTGCGCATGCGCGTCATAAGTAGCTGCCGTAGCCAGACAGCAGCCCAGGGTACCAAGATACCGGGATGGTCTGCGCTTCCTAAAATAATAAAAAAAAAACGTCCAATCCCCACAAAATGAAGTTTCCATACTCATAGATTGGCGAGGAGTAAGTATTATCCTCTTTCATACGAATGGCGTTGATGTTTTTACTATGTAAGGCGTTGAAGTTGCTGAGCAGCTGGCCTGGTCTCAGCAAGCACAAAGAAGCCCCTTATTTATTGTGAAGCTTGACTCGAGCCGTCGCTTTTTACGACGTTATAACATCGTATTGTGTCAATTTAAACACGCACGGTTTTCAACAGTCAGTCAAATTCATACTATGGCACTTACGCCTTTTACGTTTGTTTTAACTGTATTTTTCTCGCTGTTAGAGGTCCAGCACCTCGAGGCTGCCTAAGCTGTTAGGTCAGATGCTAACGTTACACAGCCACAGAATGAGTGTCAGAATGTTCACTTTCCTCTAAAGAAACACATCAGTGTTTGACTCTGTGTGACCTCAACAGTTTTCAATCCGGGTAATGGATGATCTGGCAGGACACTGCTCGGGTCAGTGTCGGACACAGAAGACATGTTTATTCAGGAAAACGGTTGATACAGCGTTATACTCTGAATAAAATCGTTTTGAAACACATTACAATAATATGTAGCTTTAGTTGAAAAGAAGGTTATTTTGTGATGGGAAACGCCGTGTATGTCATTCCTAATACAGTCTGTTTACATTCTGCAATCTTTTCGCTAAGTGAATGGTCAGTCCAATTTTGGGAAACGGGAACAATATTTTTCTTTACTTCGAAGTGAATGCTGGTCTAAGAAGCTATTGGCACTCATTAAAAGTAAAAAAAAAACACCTCAAAAGCAGAATTTTAATCGTTTACTCTTTTACATTGGGGTGTCATCACTGGGTTTCTTGTAAATAAACAAATGTATGCGAAAGTCATCTCTGCAATCGTACTTAATCAGCCAAAAGAAATGAATAGCAAACAAGGCACATTTGGCTACAGTGATGTCCCCCTCTGTCTGCTTTTGCTGCTTATTTTATTTTGTTTTCAAGCAGGACAAAAGGTAACAGGCCCTGTATGTAGCAGCAATGTAATCCAATTGATGCAGAGCTGTATATTAAAATTCAACAAAAAGGAATCTCCACAAAACCACTTTGTTTTATAGCACGATATTTGATGACTTGAGGCTGCTTACTTTGGTGATGGGTTAAAAGCAGAGGTCAAATTTCATTGTGTGTTCAGTGGTGTGCTGTGTCACAATGACAAGTAGTTCACTTTCCTTCAATTGAATGTAATTAAAAAGTGATCTTATGACTGTTTTATATGTTAATTACTACATCAGTTTTTATTCAGCATTTAAGAAGGTATTCATGTTATTGCCCTTTAGAGGTCTATGTTTGTGATGAAACACTAAGTCCTTATTGACATTGGATGCTTATCTTATTTCCAGGGGACATTTGTGACTCTTAAAAGCTAGACATGTAAAACAGTTTTGTTATTTGCTCTATGCAATTGCCTCATTCTATGGGCAATTATTTTTAATTTTTCTAAGGCAATTATTTTCCTAAAATAAATTCAGTAGTTTAGTATGCTGTCATTATGTTGTTTTAGAAGTATCTCCCAGAGTAGCTGATCTGCAATGTAGTAACATGGCTACATTTGTGTTTGTGTGTGGACCTATGGTCAGGAACACATGGTAAAGAGAGATTTTTTTTTGTCTTTTCTTCTGCTTCTTCATTGATATTTACTTAGCTGTTTACTTTTAAACTCCCTTATTCAGGAGCAGCCTAACTGTGGTCCTGTTTTTTTTTTTAAATTGAACCACTAAATGGGAAAAGAAATTGTGATTTGTAGTGATTTTAGCAATTCCATTTTTCCTTCAGTGTTACATTTTCTATCACTCCTTGACTCCATTTAGACTGTGAGGTGCATGCGGCCAAAGCCCTCATGACCATGATGTCAGCTTATCACAAGTTGCAAATTGAACAATTCTGAATCTGTAAGGATGTAAAAATAGATCAAAGCACAATCATCTCATCCAAGGTTAGTGTCCGACAGCGGCTTACCACCACCTGCTCTGTGTCTCCCCAGCATGGTTGTGAGAGGGCGTCTCATGCTGCATTAGCTAAACAGTGACATGCTGGCCTGTCTGCCAGCATCAGGTGACCCTACCATCAGACTTCTCTCACACAGGCAGATGAACACTGGACTTCAGAAATGTAAGTGCTTTGCTTTTTCTCTCTTTCAGCCACTTTACAATATGTTGTAACTTGTTTATCTTAGTTTTGTCTTAAAATGTAATTGTTAGTACAACACACTTTACAATATGTTGTAACTTGTTTGTCTTAGTTTTGACTTAAAATGTAATTGTTAGTACAACACAAAGGCATTGTTTGTGAGCCGCAACTTATAGTAGTGAGAAAACATTCAGGGTAATTATTGATGCATCATTATACATAGTTTAAAAAGTTTACATTTATGTAAAATGTTAATAAACATTTAAAAAATCCAGTCATCTGAAGGCAACATGTACTTTAATATGTACTGACAGTTAATAGAGAAAAGTGTTGCTCCTATTTATAACTGTTGACACAAAATGTGACGTAGATGCAAAGATGGACAGTTGAATGTGTTCAATTGTGCCTGTACCATTTAATGGATGGTTTTATAATGTGCTTGATATCCCACTCATTCACACAACATTGTGCTCATGTCTGAACTATTGCACATTGCAGGGGAAACTACACAGAAGATGAGATCTGCCAACTATCCAACCCCAGCAGAGTTGGATGCCTATGCTAAGAAAGTTGCCAACAACCCTCTGACCATCCAGATCTTCCCAAACAGTGTCAAAGTACCTCAGAGGAAGCACATACGACGCACAGTCAACGGACTTGACACATCCTCATCCAGCCAGCGCCATAGTCCTTACTCCTCTCAGGTCAGCACCAGTGGAGGCCTGTTAGCTGTCCTTCGCGCACCTCTTAAAGGGGTCATCAAAGAGTCGGACGGCACCCGTGCCCGGCATCTTCATAAGACCATCATGAATCCTCAAAGCGGGCCGTACACCACTCAAAGCACTTTAAACCATCCCCCACCTTCTGCGCATCTCCAAGGCCAATCCCAGTCTGGCCAAAAGCAGGGCATGGTTCACCCACAGGTGCTGCAGCACCCGCAGCCAACTATGACTCATCCAATGACAGTGCAGCACTCTCAAACAATGCCTCATCCACAGGCTTTGCAACAGAGGAACATGGCTCAGTCACAGGCTCTGCAGAGACAACAGAGCTTGACCCAGGTTCAGGCTCCACAACAGCAAAGATTGGCTCACCCACAGGGAATCCAAAGGCAGCAGAGTCTGCCTCACAGCCAAACTGTGCCACAGGGGCAGCAGCAGGGCCAGTCCTGCCCATCAGTTGGTGCGCCACCACCACCACAGCAGCAGCATCTTTCACATCTGCAGACACTAAGGCATCAGGCAGCTCCTCCACAAGCTCTGCTCCCACAGCAAGCAGTGGCTCAGGATCTGCGCCACATTTCTGATGCAGCTCAGCTCCCATCTCTGCAGCACACCCAAGGACAGGTTGGCTCACAGCCTCTTCCCCAAACTGCAGGGGCAGGACATCCTACGCTGCCCAACAGTCTTCAGCAGCAACCTCAGGGAGCATATGGGCCCCGCAAGCTCCCTGATGCAGACGCCCCACCAAATATAACTGTATCTACCTCCACCATACCACTGTCAATGGCAGCCAGTCTACATCAGAATCGACCTGGTGACCTTAGCAGCATTGTGCACCAGATCAACCAGCTGTGCCAGGCACGGGCTGGCATGGGCACCACCTCTGTCTGTGAAGGCCAGATAGCAAACCCTAGTCCTATTAGCCGCAACCTGCTGATTAACGCCAGCTCAAGGGTTTCCTCGCACCATTCAGTGCTGGGCCCAGTCCAAAGCTGCCTCAATGTGGGTCCTGCAGACAAGGCTCCTCCTCAGACTCCTATTGCTGTGATGCATTCACAGCCAAATATTTCTGCTAACAGTATACCTTCCTTTCACACTGACCCTGAGAAGGTACAGATGCAGCAACAGCAGCAGCAGCTCCAGCATCTTATAAATCAGCAGAAACAGCAACACCAACAACAGCAACAAAAGTTACAACAGCAGCAGCATATACACCAACTGCAGCAACGCTCCTGGGCCCAGCATCAGCTTGCCCACATGCAGCAGCCTCCAGAAGGAGCTCATCCCTGTAAGAATCCAAGGATGGAAGCTCCGACTGAGTGTTCTTTTCCGTCGCGAAACTTAAATTATTCCCACAAGCTACCAAACACTGCACAATCCTACGCTCTGAAACACCCAGCAGAAAAACCACGGCCCTCATCCCCAGTTAACTGCCCTCTCGGTTCTATGCCTTACATGAATAGCCACTACATGCAGCCACCATGGGGAAGCATTCCGCCCACAGCAGGAAACAATGGATCAGGCCCCGATGACCTTCCAGGTGCCTACCAGGGAGTCCAGGCTGCTGCATCCACAGACCGCATCCCCGGAGCCAAGTACAGGCCCGTGAGGGAGGGTCTGGGTGCCCCGTCCAAGCTGATGCAGAATGTGGATTTCTTAGGAGGAGACTTCCAGATGCCCGGTTTTCAGGAACAGAGCTTGAATGTTATGGAGAAGATGCACAGGCCAGCCCTTGGTCAAGTTCAGGATTCAAGCAATGGTGGTGCTGTTCACACTCATCACCCTGGCTATCATTGAGCGTGTGCTTACACCCTTACAATTGTGTTTGAGTTGTCTTAAAGTTGTGTTTAACTGTGTGTGTGTTTTTCTTTTCAGTGATCCCTTTCTTCTCCAGAGCTTGACCCACTAGCTTGTGATATTTCTGAATAATTCTCAGGTCTTAAACCATGTCATACCTTTGTTGCAGATGAAGGGTAGTTTAGACTGTTGTGTAGAACTCCTCTTTTCATCACTGGCATGCCCTTACTGCTTTTTTCCATGTAAATAAATGATGATTTAAATATTAGTTTGCAGCTGAGAATAGGTCTGCCCAGTCACAGTGCTTTGATACCACGTTACAACTTCTTTTTTTTTCCCAGCATTTGTGGCCTTACAACTATCCAAAGGCAAGACTTAAGATGTCTTCATGTAACAATTTATTTGCAGTTATTTATCCTCCTTACAGATTTGTGATCCAGTGAATAAGAAGGTAGTTTGTATATGCAATTTGCAAGACTGTTGCTGAGGTTTCTGTGACTGAGGTGTCTGCTGTTTTAGGTCTAAGTGAGAGCTCCAACACCTATGAAGAAAACCCCTTAGGGATCAAACTCACTTGTGATTTTTGCTAGTTTTAGCTTCTTTCCACGTGTGATGATGATTTACAAAAATGGCTATTTCACTGTTTTAGTCACTGAAAAAGTGGATGAAACCAGCACTCAGAGAAACTGTAATATTCTCAGTTTATTATGATGTGACTGGCTCCTCTTTTGCATATGTGAAAAAGTGCCCTCTTAGGTGTAAAAATTGAAGTTATTATTTTACGTCGGGTATTTTATTTCCGTAAATGGTCCAACCTCAGATGTAGGAATTACTTTTATAGATTTTGCTAACTCTTGGCTAAAGGAACAGACTCTCCATAAGCACTACTATTTGTCTGAATCTAATGTGACACTGAACATCATCCCATAAATATTGAAATGTCTAATCTCAGTGCAAGTGTATGTTGGGCGAAGGCGTAATTCTCCACCACTTAACTACTGTATCGCAAATGAATAGACGCAGTGAGGACTTCTGTGTGTCTGGTCACCTGCGAGTTACTGGCCTTACTTGTGTGCTACCTATAGAGTAATCAAGAAAATGTACTGCAGGCCTTTCTTCTGAATGCTTTAAGCCTAAAGCTCCAGACCTGTTTCCTTCTCCAATCATGTTTTTTGGATCAACATCGCCAGAGTGTGTTGCTTTGTTGTCCTCACAACCTCTGGATAGAGCCTTAACTCTCAAAAGATTTCTTTTAGTTGAAATAATCAACTCACTTTCTGTGCCAGGAATTTCTGTATGGCATCATTGTGACACAGACACTACTTTTCTCTCTTTTTTTTTTAATTTTTGTTTTTATTCTTTTGACATGTATTAAAACTGTACGAACAGATCCTCGGGCAACGTTTATGTGTACAGGTGGTCACATCAGCTGATTATTGTTTGCTTCAGATGTTGCCCATCTTTCAAGGATTTAAAATATTAAGAGCAAATAAAAAATAGTTTCTATTTAGTAAATTTATTGGACACTTAGATCAGGGCTGTAGCAGTTGTTTTAAAGTATTTTGACTTTTGACTTTTTTGTCTTTTAGTTCCTGTGTATTTCACATCCTATTATAGTAATTTATTACTTTGGACCACTGCATCCTGAAGCCATAGGTGATTTCACTTTAGGTGCCATAGGTGATACACATTGATGACGCAGTGTGAAACAAATATGGAGGTTTGCATCTGTGCTTTAATCTTTTAGAAAGCAGGGCAT